CGCCCCCCCCCCCCCCGCCCGACAACGCCCGACAACGCCTGCCCGCAGGTCTACTCGACTGGCTTGGTGGTGGAAACCCCGTCGCCCGTCCCGGACACGGTGGAAGATACCCCGTCGCCCGTTCCGGATGCTGTTCCCGGGCCCACCGACCCCGCGTACCTCGGTTGCTTCGGCGACTCGCAAACCGCCCGTGTCTTCACTGAACGATCCAGCGCGTCCAACGGCATGACCACTGCGGTAAGAAGGGCGGGAGTGGGCTCGAACTTCACGACGGAATCATGTGCTGGGCCAGCCCCTGCGGCGATTGCGCCTTCTTCACGGCCATTGACAACCTGCTGTAGCGCCGACCATACATGTATATTTTCGCGCTGTATCGCACCATTCATCTTCTACTGTTGTGTTTTTTCTTGCAAAAACACAAGATTAGCGATGAATGTTTTTTTTGTTTGTTTTTCTCCCGTCTTTGGACTCTGTCGTCTGCCCCTCTGGCCCCTATACTCCACTTCTACCAGCTAGACGACCCAACCGGCGTCACATAGGAGGGGGGGGCTGGACCCCCTCCTGCGGTCCTGCCTGAGGTATTTTTATCGCGAGAAGGGTACAGCAATCCCTTCCCTCGCGACTTACGAAGTCGATTATGGTTTACTAACAACCGAGCTTTGCAGCGCGTCGCTTTCATCCTAGACCAGGATTTATTTGTGAGAAAAAACTCACTCTGCGAATATATAGTGCTGGATGATGACCAACTTATTGTTATCTATTGCTTCTCTAGTTTTTTGTTTTCGTTTGTCTTGCGCTGTTGTGTGCCGGCCGTCTCGTGTCGACGATCGATCGTTTTTGGCATCACCGCTCCATGACGGACAACACACTTATTATCTTCAAGAGTGAGATACCTGTTCGGAACACTTCAGAATCAAGCCTCTGATTTTTGGGGACGACCCCAGGCGGGCAAAGGTTGTCCTTTGTCTTGGAGCGTTGGGGTCGCCGTTGCGCCGCTATTCCACGAACCTGGCTATCGCTCGGCCATTATTTCGGGCGTCGCGCCGCACGCCGATTGTAGAACCTCAGTCTCCTCCCACCGCCCGTTTTTTCCTCCCCTAACCTGCCGCGGTGTATGCTGTTGCTGCTGTTGCTGCTGCTGTTATTCTTGTCTCTCCCGCGAACGCAACTCACGACCATGTCAATGACTGAACGACTGGTTCCGGCAACATGACTCACGACAAAACAGGAGTGCGCGACTACTTGCTCTGCCTTCGCCTACTACGGTACCCAGTACGGGAGAGAGGTGAGTCGAGGCTTGAAGAAAACGAGAGCCGTTCGTTTTGTGCGTGTTCGTCTGTCGCAACGGCGTGTGTCTCTTTGCCCGTGTGGAAAATCATCAGCGGTCACGCGTGTGGTGTCGAGAGGTGAGTTGAGATTTGAAACCGAGAGCCGTTGTTGTGTACCAGTAACATGTTCGTCTTCTGGTCTTCTGTCCGTGTGGGCGATCATCAACGGTCATGTGAGGCGTGTTGTGTCGGAATAAACGGTCTCTCTGTGCGTGGAAGAATTGTATGTGCAAGGAGGTCTCATGTTGTGATACCCCTTAGGAGATGACCATGACTCGGCCGGCTATCATTCGTCCCGATCCACATCAATGTGGGGAGTTTTTCTCGTTCGCTTGTTTGTTTTCTTTCGCCCGATTGCAAGCGGAGCATCTCACAACAAGCCCCCCCTGTCCAGATGGGGCAAGTTATTTTCCGTTGATGGCGCACTCTTCACGACAAGAACCACGATATGAAAAGCCTTCCGGCACGTGCGCAGACGCGGTGATCAAATACAAGCACAATAGATAAAGGATGCTGTATATGCCCGGCGACGAGCATGTTCTTGCGGTGTAGGTTGTTTTCCGCTGATGCCACACACCTCACTAAGAGAAGGCAGTGTCTTTCACCCGTGAGCGGACGTGAACAAGAACACGCAAGAGGCACGGATAAACTTAGCGACTGTAATATTCGTGCTGCTTCATGGGCGCTCGTTCCTGACGCGCAATGCCGCCCGACTCGCCACCCTTCGAATTGATGTCAGTGCTGGTGCGGCAACAACGCCGACTACGCCGTCTACGGAGAAGCAACGTGCACGATGGCGTGCGCTGGCGACTCTGATGATATCTGCGGAGGCGTCAACGCCCTGTCGGTACGTCGGTTTTGCTGTTGTGGTGCCTCCGGTGTTTCCGTGGGTTGACCCATACATGCGTGCTGTGCATGTTTTGATTCTTTACTCGCAGCAGCGAAACCTGCGGTGGCTTTTACGTCAAGACGACGGTGAGACGGATGTGCAGAGCATCCTGTCCCCCCCCCCCTTCCACGTGTGTTGTTGATGGTCTCCAACATCGTTAGTGCATTTTCGTGTCCCTCTCCACGATCTCAACTCCCCCCATTCCCTCCAATAATGCCCTCGCCAGGTCTATGGCACTGCTTAGTATCCTGAATAACCGCTCGTGGTGGATGAAGGAACCGAGAGAACGGCAAGCCGCGGGCGGTATGCGGTGACGGCCCCGCAACAATCGTTTTTTTTGCTTGGTTCACGTTGGACGGGCGCACTCCGTGGGCTCTCGATAGACAAAATGGAGTGGTTCGCTCCCGCGTTGCGTCTACTCCACAGTCCGGCTTCACTCCGCTCGTGTATAGTGCTCGGCCGGTTTATTATTGTTTAGCAAGTGTACGAACTACGGTTGGGGGTAAGGTGGCGGGCAGGAAAGGGAACGTTGTTTTGGAATGTGCGATTATTGGGGAAAAAATGTAGGTTAAGTTTCGGGTGTTCGACCCCTCGCGCCCCTCTCGTTTGCCAGCCCGCCACCTTGTGGTGGAGTCTGAAATGCTTGGGTCGACGCTGTGCTGTTTTCGGGCTTGGACGGAACGACCGAAGTCCCCTTGAAGGAAAGGGGGGTACATGGTGACAGTTTTCACATCCCTCGCCCAGGCGCACCCGGTCCGGTGAGAACCCGGCGTGCTCCGTCTCGTCTCTGTAGGGATGCGAGGTAATTGGTTTACCGACTATGGCATGCACGGATATGAGTACACGCCCCAAGTCGCACCTTCTAGATGAGGGAAAACGTTTTTGAGCCACCTTTGGCAGAGTAGGAAGGAACGAATGACCGTCGGTGATCGACATTTGTGCGCGCAGCCGCAAGTGCCCGTTAGTTGCTCGGAAACAAGTAGTTTCACTTGTTGTCGTTTGCACCCTTGCACGTTGCCTGGGTATTTTTGCTGTTTGCGCTGTCTTCTGCTCTCTGGTTGGTGAGTCGTGTTGCGTTGCACGCGCGGGGGGGTCGCAAGTGTCGTTGGGGAATCATTTAACCTTGTTTTGGGTACACACGCGACTGTATCGAAGCCTCGCGCACCCCTCCTGTGCCTGTTGTCAAGTGCAAGAGAGAGAGAGAGAGAGAGAGAGAGAGAGAGAGAGAGAGAGAGAGAGAGAGAGAGAGAGAGCGTGCTTCCCACGCTCATCACGCAGCGTTGGAACAACCGACTTCGTATAGCGCACCTATTACGTCGGGCAGGGGGAGAGTCATTTCGCCGCACCACAACACAACCAGAGCTGGCGGCAGGCAGGCTTTCTTGGGGGAGAGGCGTGATTAGCGCCGAGGAGAATAGTGGTTTATTGCTTGTAGAAGTATTTGTTGACACTGCCAACAGGTGTTGTGCCGAGTGAGATGCTGGTGCTCGACGACGTGCCTCTGAGAGACTTCGACCTGCAGTGTGAGGTTGTTGATGGCATTCACGGTCAATCTTCCGACATCAAGCCCGAACGTGTTGGATCCCAGCGATGTTGTTGTTCGTTTCTTTAATTGTACTTCGTTTCGTGGCCGCATTACGGTTGACTGTCTTTTGCTGCCTTCCAGCAGGCAGGTCATCGCCGGGCACGGACGTACATGTGATGCAGGCTTCTTGGTGCAGGGCGCAGGACGGACTCGTTGCTGCAGTAAGCGCCGGCACTTACAACCTTGGCAGCTAAGAACTTGAGCTTCGCAAACCTCGCAACCTGAGCACCATATGTTTGTGAGCTCGGTCGTTGGCTCGGTCAAGAACTCCTTGCACTGATCCCTAGATTGTGGCCATTCGTAGCGTAACCCTATTAGGAAACATAATATTGTAGGTACTAAGAACCTCCGCCTCGGTCGAGACTAGACGTTCTTCAGGGCTGGCGCCTGCTAACTGCAGAGCAGGAAGGTTATGGCCGGCCACAGACACACATGCGATTGCAGGTTGTATGTGCGATTGAGAAACAAGGCCGCCACATGATATGGTGTTGCCTGGAGTGCGTAGGCATGCTCATACTGTAGTTTCGTTTTTTCATCCGAAGCCGCCCTCGGATAGCGAGTGCATGCGTATTGAATTGCTTCAAGTTTCTTGTCCGCCCCACGCTATCCTCAAAGCTTGTGTGTGCGGAGAGACGCAACGAAAGAAGGGGGCATGGGCGAACAGGAATAGGTTATTCGCCGCCGTGTGGACGGTCTACAGAGTTGATTGATCACATGTACATGTAAAACTGGACACTGCTTACCTTAATAATACCGTGAGGACAACGCGATGCTGGATCTTCGTGGCCACCAGACTCAAGTTTCCATCGCCGCAGCTCCCCTCGACACCTTTGGTCAACGGTCGTGCAATACCGTTTTTCAAGGGAAGTATCAGGATTCACTCACAGAAGACACCCGTAAGGGGGAGCTTTTCGAACTTGAAGCTCGACGTATTCCCCGTCACGTCGGAAGGCTACTACAGCAAGCAGTATACCATGGCCCGGAAAGGCCGGAGGGATCACCTTTTTCGCGAGGCGAAAGAGAAGTACAGAACGCGCCACCACTTAAAAACGTATTTAGCGTGAGGCTCGACGCTTATTGGTTGCCTCCACGCGAGCACATCTTCTTATTTGGAGCAGGCATCCACCTAGATATGATAAACGGGATTTTTGCTCTTACTTTTTCTAAACCGATTGGCCCTACGCAAAGGATACGGGTCTTTCTGGGTGGATTTCATCACGAGATGGTAGTACCGCATGCTCGATAGGGAGAGGAGAGGTTGCCGAAAATAAATTGGGAGGCGAAGTGGGCAAATCAGAAGAATTGGCGTACCAACCTACGGCGTAGGCAAATCTAAACAAAGAAGCCAAGGACACGGAGGGTCTGGATGTGTACGGAATGTTGAAAGAGGGGATGGATTTGAAGGAGTATCTACCTGAGCAATCCTCGAGGTCAAGTTAGGACTGCGGGCATTGACCTTCGAGAACGTAGACGAAGATTCATGTAGGAAAATAGACGACGAAGACATGAAAATCCAGACGTGAATGAATTCCGTTCCGAGTGCACAGACCAGTGTTCATGTACTTGTGGAATGTCGGTTGTGCAGGAGGGAAATGCTCATGATTGAGCTGGGAAAACGTAGAAGGAAAAGATAGACTACAGAGAGATGTTTGAGGCATGAAATAACTACAGGAGAAGACGGTAGCTGATGTACTGGGGCATTGGAAGCGGGTTGAAAGGTGGGAAGTGATATCGATAGGATAGATAGGTCACGGAAAACTTTTTGAGCCACCTTTTGGGCAACGCAGGACAAGTACGATTGACTATCGGTGATCGGTCATGTGGGAACAATGCTCCGTCCTGTCGAGGACGCGTGGTCAATGGTCGAACCGCTAAGGCATGCAAAACATGAGAGAGAGAGTGCGCCCCCCCTTCGGATCCAACCCCCACGATTGGGAAGAGGCGTAAGCAAGCTAATATGGCAAGTAGACTAGTACCGTATGCAATGTGTGATATAGAAGAGAGGTTGCCGAGAGAAGATTGGGAGGCGAAGTGGACAAACAAGAACAATAGGGCAACCGAGGGAGCGGATTAAGGTTGTAGATGACGAATGGAAGAGTTCGAAATCAACGAGGTTGGTACATTGGAAACGAACGGTAGGTATGGAGGGGGTTCATCATCAGAAACCCACTGTAGGTTTAGAGGCGTTCAAGAACAACAAATCTGCTGCTTTTGACAAGAGAGAACAAAGCCTATGAAACGAATCCAAGGATAATAAAAAGGGGGGTCTAGATGTGCGCGGAATGTTGAAAGAAATAATAGGTACCTAACGGACCAATAGATACAGGGGCAAAGCCGAAGGTCGATTTCAGGACTGAGGACAACTGAACGGCCTTTGACAACACTGACAAAGATTCAGGAAGGAAGACGATGAAGACGACAAGTTCTTCAAATGCGAACGCGGCTCCGAGTTTGGAGGCAGGGTTCATCTTGTTGCGAAACGTCGGTGTTGGGCGACAAAGACAGAGAGAAATGTGCATGACTGAGTTGGACAAGTAGAAGGAAAGGTTCAACAGGGAGATATTTGAGGCATGGAATAGCCAGGAGGAGACGATGGCTGTGCCGGGGAAAAACAGTGAGTTGAAAAGGCTGGAAGTGATATCGATAGGATAGAATAGGCTAGGGAGAACGCCATTGAGTTACCTTCTTTGGCAAAGTACATCGAACTTGGAAGGAACGACTGGCAATCGATGATCGGTTCTGTTGAAACAACGACGCGTCCTCTCGAGGAAGTGTGGTCAATGAATGGGCGAACCGCGATAAGGCATGCGAAACGTGAGAGAGAATACTCCCTTCCCCTCCGCACGTACAAACATTTTATCACAAGGTCCTTCCCCCCCCCCCGCCTCGAATTGAAACTAACTGCTGTTTGGGTCACCCCGCGCCTTCCTAAGTTTTTATCTTGCAGCCACCCCGTTTCGGGGCTCCGTCCTCATCATCTCTATTTATAGACTATGCGTCGTGGTACACCATACGGGCGGGTTCTTGTTCTTACTGTCGCGTCGGAACTGAGTAGTCTACCTGTTCTTATGGCCAATTTCTGGCCAGTTTTGGATATTTGGAGGCTCAAGTCCTTCACGGCTAAGTTCATTAGTGGGGGCGCGTTCTGTAGGTGGCTAATACAGGGCCGAAGAAGTTCTTGCGGAGTTTCCCTGCAGGACCGACGTGGGCAGAGGGCTGGCTCATCATCATGGGACAGGAGAGCAACACTGCCTTTAGTCAAGGGAAAGTTTGCGACTTCTACGTCCGGTTCCGAAGAGTGGAATTCAGCAACAACAATTGGGAAAAAGGGCTCGGCGACTTGTGCGATCCGTACTGAAGCAAGAGTGGAATGTAGCGACAACGATTGCGAAGAGCTCGGCGGGGGTCACCCGACGACGCATCGACCTGGCGACAGATCTTCCACCGTCTACTGCCTGCCCTGCCTAAGAGTCCTGATGCGGTACACTACCGAGAGATGGGGAGAGCAGTATTGACTAGGAGCACACACGAGTTCAACATCGCCTTCGTGAGGGAGACGAGTTTCACGGTGGCCAGATCACTGACTGATGGTCGCCGTTCGAGGTTGATTACTTTCGAGATTTAACAGCGAAGTCGACATCAAGACCGCCATCCATCCGTCCCTTCCTGGTGTGGACTGACGATCTATGTAGGGAAGGCGGCACACTTGCACGAGAGAGACGCCGTACAAACGTACAACCACTCCTCCCGCCGTTCGAACGTTACAAACATGCCTCGCCACACCGTCGTCTACCCCCGAAAAGGGTGACAAGGAAACAACTCACGTGAAAGTCGTGTGCGTCGACGATTAGCCCACATTTCAATGGCCAACAAAACCTCTGGCCCTCATCGATCAGCTTCACAGCCAATCAAATCATCGTGTTTCACGGAGCTGTCAGCTGGTGGTGTAACAACCACAAAATATATTTGTGTTGAAAACGCGATAAAATCCTAAAGAGGCCCGCTGAAGCCTCCGCTCGAGTCTCCCTTCCTAAGATACGGTAGACCACGCAGGAAATCTAAAAGAGTGAAGGGGACACTCTCTGTTGGGTTTAAACGACCTCCGCATGGGTCTACCAATCTTGGAATCCATCACTGACTTCCAGCCAACATCAACTGGGTGACATCCGCGCGAAAACGCAAGGCAAGAAAGACTGCAATCTGGCGGGCCGGCTCGGAAAGCCCGCTGTTGCGTCATCAGCGCTTCACGTCTCGCGATTTTTAATTCGGAGGCCTCGTCGCCATCATAGACGGTGTTGAAAAGCGCGATACCGTCGTGTCAGACCCGCGGGAAGACGATCTGGGCGGCAACAAGAGTTCTCGAAACGATGGGCGCGACCGAATTCAATGTTAACCCAACCCTAACCCCATTCATGCTCATGCGGCTCCCCTAGGTGAAAACTTGCGTCGGTATGGATACTGCGACGGCCGGCCCTTTTGAAGTACCAGAAACAACACACAAAGCTCAACATGCAAAAGGAGAACTAACTGTCATCGTCAACTAGGTCAAAACTTGCTTCGGTATGGACACTGTGACAGGCTGCTCTATTGCAGTGCCAGAGAAGCAACACACGAAGCCCGAAATGCACAAGGAAAACTTACTGTCATCATCAAGGAACTCACAACCAGATATCAACGAAGAGTAGAAACTGTAGACACACGCGGGTGACTGCGGCCAGGTCATCATGTGCTGGTATCCACCTCGACATTGACGGACCCAACTAACAGAACAGCAGTACTTGGCATCACGAGGACATCTAAACAAATCGCACGAAGGCTTTTTCTGCTCTAGTACAGTACCTACCTCGGAAAATATCAACGACGAGGACCTAACTAGACTATACCAATTAACTAGACTAGGACGATTACGCTGTGCAAAACGCCATAAATACACAAACATGAACACCCCAAGAAACAACAACCTACACAAGAGGGAAACGACTCCTCCTCCTACTTTCTGTACATGCTGAGATGCTACACGTCCTACAGACATTGACGCCCTCGTGAACGCGAAAGGTAACGTCACCGCTTTCTGAACTTGACGACCGGCCTCTCAGTTTGGGCCAGACGCGCAGCGAGGGCCAAGATCCTAAGTACACAGAGCAACATTCAACACGGTGGCGAACATCCAACATGGTTGTTTCCTATCCTCTCGACACCCACCTCCGACAAATGCAACGGCACCAGAAGTCTCGCGCGGTCACCCGTCAAAGCCGAACCAAACTAAGGATGGAAACGATAAATATTTACACTACTACAAAATATTGGCAAACACGAGCGCCTGGCCTTGGCCGTGTTGCTAGCCTTGTCCTGAAACAAGCGACCTGTGCGCCAAAGGAGTAAAAAATGCGAAGCAGATAGGGGTTGTGTCCCTTTCCTTTTTCTTCGACCCCCAAACCTTTCCGCATGAGACTCGACCCTGCTAGGTCGAACAGGGCATGCAAATCTTCCTTTTGCATTGATTGTCTTGGTCTCGGAGGACTAAATCTGATCCACCTGCCTTTTCTCGTTCATCCAAGCAGACACGGCACGAGATAGCCGAGCGTAGGCGGCCTTGTCGAGCATGCCGAACATCCGGTTCATCCCGAAGAAAAGCGCAGGCATCTGCGCGGGATTCGTGTCAGCATTGGGCGCGCCGGATTCTATCAGGAGCCCGGAGGATACCGCAAGCAACTTTCGAGCCTGTTCTACGGCCATCGATGGTCCTGCCTCCAGGCTTTGTGCATCGTACAACGCGCACAGCGGGAGTGGCAAGCGTGTACAGACGCCGACAATCCACCTTGAAGCATGGGTATACATGCCCAGGAGAGGGCACTTACCGCTAACAATACCGCAAACTGGACAGGGTGCGGTAGGTTGTACCACGCACACTTGAACCCCGAAGACAAGTCAACCAGCACTGCAGGGGACGGAAAAAAGGCAAAGTCACGGGTGAAGGGATAGATAGCTCGTGCATGACTGGCGGTACTCGAAGAAAGCGACAAACACACACACACACACACACACCATGTCTTGGCCTTGAGAAACGTTTTGCGGTATTGAGACGCACCGAGACTGGACGTATTTTTCATTGGTCAGCCGGTTCGCGCGGTCGATGCAATCACCCAAGGAACACACACGGAAACATGATCGAGCGAGGGAAGAGGAGGCATGGAAGAGAGAAAAAGTTCCCACCTAGTTGAGCCTTCTACACAACAAGCGCCGGCGAAATACGGGATATAACCCTAAAGGAGCGGTAGATGTAAGAGCCAAGAGGGTGGTACATGCAATGAGGATGATCGAAGCGACAATACCGCCTGAAGGGGGCCGAAATAACCACGAGGAGAAAGTGGGCGATCACACTGTCGGCAACCGCCCATGGGCACCACGTGTGCCCACGGTTCTGCACAGACAGCCCACGGGCCGGCCATGGAAAAAACCCATGGGCAGCCCATGGTGGGCACTTCATGGGCTGCCCATGGTTTTTGGCAGCCTATGGATCGTCAAGGAGTTCCCTTCAACAGAATATCTGCCATGGTAGTAATCCTAACAACAGAATATTTGCTTTGGAAGGAACGTAATACTGGCTAAATCCTAACGTTTCCCAAGCCCACACGGTACGTGCTATGTTGGCGCTGGTTAAATTCTAGGTTCTGTGCCGGTGGCTTAAGTTCTAGGTTGAGATGCTGGCGGCGAGTTCTAGGTTTGCCCACGGTGGGCACTTCTTGGGCAGCTCATGGGCTGCTCATGGGTGTCCCATGGGCGGATGAGCAATACTGCCAGGTGTGGGAGATTGAGAAAGTAGAGGCCTTGGTAGAACGGACCTTTTTTTCTCATCTCTTACCGTGTCTGTCTTTGTCAAGAAAATAGCTTAGCCTCTCCTATGGCGCCCCCTTACGGGGTCCCACATCATGGCTTCTTAAGCACTCTCTGTTTTCAGCCGCAGTGGGACTGACGTCATTGCATTAGTTAGTCGGTTAGCGCGGGCGACGCTAATATTTTAATTAAGATGGTACACACAAATATTTTCCTGGCCGGTAGGCGCCATCGACGAATAACAAAGAAGCCCATACACACGAAACCCTATGGTCTGTGCTCTGTAGATGGCTTCTACTTCAGCACCCCGGCGCACGCGTCCTGGACACACCCGGAATATAGCGACGTCGAGAAGACACACTACTGTAATGACGACGCACAAAAACCGAGGTCTCTTGTCCATCAATGACCGTACAATGGCGCACAAATAGACACAGACAAACGCTCACCGCTCCACACAACAAGCATGGGTGCGCCACTTACTGCTGCTTTCCGCGATGCCCACGACGGTGGCTGGCATCACCAACGCCAGGAAGAGATGGCTGTGGGGTCCACTGGTGGTTCAGACGAGCGGGTACAGAGAGGGCTCACGTCAAAAATGACACACACAAGACATAAAACTCGGCAATCACGCTCGCCAGGTGAGGGAAAAAAGGGTGCCTCTAGGACACTGCTACTTTCCTCGAGACACAAGGGAAACGTATTGTGCAGGCAGAGGATTTCGGCAAGAAAATCAAAGCAAGCTCGTCAAAAAGCCCCCTATACATGTGCTGCACAACCCATATGCGTTGCGGTGCGGTGGAACACGTGCCCAAGTTGCTCTGGACAACTATTTACCATGATAGGCAAAGCGCTCTGCACTACGGAGTTCACGAAGTTATGAAAAGCTCCGGACGCATCCCCTGGTCCAAACTAGTTCATCGCGTGCTCTCATTCTTTACTACGGAACCCAAGGGACTACTACAAGCTCCTGGACGCATTCCCAGGTGCAAACGGATTCATCGCGTCACTTTCACATCTTGCGCTTGGTGTAGACTATGTACCTCTGTTGACAACCGCCAACTCTCTTCAGGAACCTTCTTGCGGTCTTCGGGTAGCTTTTTGAATACCCAGAGTCTCGGACGGTCGTCGATAGAGAAGCAACGCCCTGCCAACGTAGCGTTAACAACATGTTCGATGGACGTGCAAAAAAATGACGTCACTCGGTTCGACGGTGGTGTTCGACTGCTTTCAACACAGACCTGGCAACAGCAGCAGAACGAGTTTCGGGGGGGAGCCGGTAATATCTCCGTAATGGCGTGTTATCTCCGCCAAACGTAAGCAAGCACGCCTGCGGCAGGCTACACAAAACACGGGTGACAACACCACTTGATAGGTACATTTTCAGGGATCTGCGCCAATGCCAGAGGAGCGATGACTCAGATGGTGGCGTGCTTGGTGTTCGAACGAAAAAGGCATGTTTGTGCCAGCATGCAGCGCAACATAACGGACCCTCCATGGTGCCTGGAGACGGATTTGGGGGGAGGGGATACTCATCGTCGTGCATGCCGTAGTCGTCAGATCATTCACCTCGCATCCCTACGAAGACGGGACCGGGTGTGTGTGTGTGTACTCATAGTCGTGCATTCCGTAGTCGTTAGACCATTGACCTCGCATCCCTACAAAGCCGGGACGGAGCACGCCGGGTTCTC